TCCTCACCTTCGTCCTCGTCCTTCTCCTCCGCCTCCCCCTCCTCCTCCTCCTCTTCCTCCTCCTCTCCTTTTGGTCTTCTTTTTTCACTCTGTCTCGTCCTCTCCATGAGGCGGGTTGATTGCGCTCTGAGGAGCACAGCCCATTCCCGATTCCCGCTTCGACAATTACAAAGACAACGCCGACGACGACGAAGAAGATGACCACTACCACTGCAACTGCTGCTGCTGCCGTCGCTACCACAACTGCTATCACTATTGGGGATAAGCTTTTCGCCAGGTGGCCGTGACATCTTCATCAGTGGCCGCCCCGACGGACGCCATAGATTCTGGATGAGCGACGGCGCGCGCAGCAAATGAACACACGTACAAACGTCACACACAGACACACACACACACACACACACTCGGGATTGCCGTTAAGACTAGAAGTGGTAGTGCAAAGTGTCAGAGGGAAGAAAAAGAGGGGAGGGATGGAGGAGACGACGACGACGGCGACCCTGGAGGACGCGCCGCCGGCCGTCCGGGGTGCGGGGCGTATTTAGACAACAGGATACGAAGGGACCGCAGAGGTTGCACCGCATAGTTTGCGCCGCATTGCCTGCAAGAGCCTACTGATTGGGGTCCACGCTGGCTAACAATCGTTTAGTCAACTTGGGCACAGGCCTCGTCCAGTATATGGCGAAGTGCAACATTGCGCGCAACCAAACGTTACTGCGCAAGCTGGCGACGAAAATCCAAAGCAGTCCAAACAGCTGAAGATCTGAATACGAACGTAAACTGCGCAATATGTAATGCGAAGGGACGTGCGTAAGACGGTGCAAATTGAATATTGCACGTCTGCGGCGGAGCTGCTGCTCAACCTCACTTCGCTGCGGCATTGCTCGCCGAAGATATCATTCGCAACAGTTTCGCCTTGGTTTTCCCGCGGGGGTTGATGTTGTATTTCCGCGCCTTCTTGCGGAGCCCCTCGATGTCGCACTGCTTCTGAATGCGTTTCGCCTTCCTCTTCGGCAGCACCTTCTGCCCCACCGTCTTGCTCAGAATGTGTAACGCCATCTCTACCAACGTGATCCATTCTGGTATCCCGAACACCGACGCCTTGGGGCTGAAGCCTTTCTTGGCCAACGCAAGTGAAATTTTCAGCAGCGCGGGCGCGCTGCCGACGACTCCTCGTGGCTTCTTATAGGATAGCCCCAAGGCCTGCGCTGCCGCCCTTACCAAAGTTACGGCGAAGCACGATGTGCGTTTAACGTCTGCGAACAAGATGCGAGAGGCTGCTGAGACCTCGGCCTTGTATGCGCTACCAGGGGACTGTAAAATGCGATCGATGACGCGCATTGGGAATGCCTCCAGCACCTGGCGAACCTCGCATTGGTGCACGATCAGCGTGGCCCAAGTAACATCCTGCACCCCGCCTTTGTCAATGATAGATTCCATGACGAAATCTGCAGTAGCGCTCGCGGGCACCCGTAGCTGAGGGACCGCGCGCATGACATCCCGTGCGTTTGAAAGGCCGAAACTCTGCAGGGAGTCACAGAGTGACCCTGCAGCTTGTTTATCAACCAACCACTCGTGCAGTTTTTGGCTGTACGGCACGGGGGCGACGTTGAAGATTAAGGGCAGCAGAGAGTTCAAACACTTGAGCATGTTCTGCTTTGTGTAATCACCGGCGCACGCAACCCCAGAGGCCCGCAAGCATAAAGGAATTTGTTGTCCAATTGCGTCCGCCATGCTGATGAGAGTGTCTTCATCAATTGATCGAACTGCACGGGATAATAAAGGGCCCACATATTCTGCCCATGTTTCTGCCACTTCCTTGAAGGCTTCCTGCACGCCGGGGTCTCCAAGCGCCTCCACCGGCTTGACGCCAGTGTGCGCCGTGTGGCGCCCCTCCACATGAGATGCCCAAGTGTGGTGTTCGCCCGCGCTCTCCTTGCCATGGTTTTGAAGCAAGCCTTTGATGAATGCGTCGAAATCATTGCATAAGAGATTTTGTTTGGTCGCGATATAGCTGCCTGCCCAAAGATTGCCGTGGTAGCCACGGACAGCAAGCAAAACCAGGATGGCGAGAGAAAAAACGTAACCTGGTGACCCCATGTATCTGACCATATGTAAGTGGTGAAGCCTGCGGCTGATCTACCAGCGCCTGCTGGCAACTTGTAGATGACTCGACGATGGATCAATTATGAAATCTCGTCGCGAGCCAAAACAATTACACATCAATAGGGCCTTCTCCCCCGAAGGACCGAAAATGCACAAGTGAGGTCCTGCCGCAAACGGCACAACAGGGGCGATTATCTGCACACATATGTCTTGCACCGTTTACGTGCAGCCCAGAAGTTCGTACCGTTTACGTGCAACCCAGAAGTTCGTAAAAAAAGTGATTGCACATAAACGGCGCGAGCTTCTGGGTTGCACGTAAACGGTACAAGACAGAGGGTTCGATGGTCCTCCTGGTCCTGTTTTCAACGATGGGCCTCCCAGGCCCGCTTCGAAACAACGCGACACCCCAGAAGTACGGACTTCTGGGTTGCACGTAAACGGTACAAGACAGAGGGTTCGATGGTCCTCCTGGTCCTGTTTTCAACGATGGGCCTCCCAGGCCCGCTTCGAAACAACGCGACACCCCAGAAGTTCGTACCGTTTACGTGCAGCCCAGAAGTCCGTAAAAAGTGATTGCTCGTAAACGGCGCGAACTTCCAGGCCGCACGTAAACGGTACAAGACAGAGGGTTCGGTGGTCCTCCTGGTCCTGTTTCCAACGATGGGCCTCCCAGGCCCGCTTCGAAACAACGCGACACCCCAGAAGTACGGACTTCTGGGTTGCACGGTACAAGACGCGACAACGACAGGGTTCGTACCGTTTACGTGCAGCCCAGAAGTCCGTAAAAAGTGATTGCTCGTAAACGGCGCGAACTTCCAGGCCGCACGTAAACGGTACAAGACAGAGGGTTCGGTGGTCCTCCTGGTCCTGTTTTCAACGATGGACCTCCCAGGCCCGCTTCGAAACAACGCGACACCCCAGAAGTTCGTACCGTTTACGTGCAACCCAGAAGTCCGTAAAAAGTGATTGCTCACAAACGGCGCGAACTTCTGGGTTGCACGTAAACGGTACAAGACAGGGTTCGATGGTCCTCCTGGTCCTGTTTTCAACGATGGGCCTCCCAGGCCCGCTTCGAAACAACGCGACACAACACAATACTACACACTACAATGCAACGCAACGGCACAACGCAATACAAAGCAACGCAGTGCATCGCAACCTGTCCTACGATACTACACACTACGACACAACGTAGTACAATGCAACGCAATGCATCACAATACGACACAAGAGGCCGCAGAAGGCCTCGGAACGACTCCGAGGGTCCTCCCAAGCCTGTTTACAACGATGGGCCCTCTGACATGCTTTTACACGGAGGCCCTCCCAGGCTGGGTGATCAAGATGAGTCCCTGAGTGCGGCAGGCGGCTTGAGCGGCAAAGCTGTGAGATCCACCTGAAGCGGCAAAACCGTGAAAGGTTCGTTTTCCTTTCAAGTTTAATGGGGTGGCTCCCCGAACAGCCCTAAAGCAATCGAGGAGGAGGGGGAGGAGGCAAGAGGAGGCGGGGGTGGTGGCGGGGGAGGACGAGGGAGAGGAGGGGGTTGCGGGGGGGAGGAGGGGAGGGAAAGATGGAGGAGGAGAGGAGGAGGGGGAGAGACAGACAGACAGCGGAGGAGGAGGGGTGCGGACCACTCCTGTCCCAGGCGTGACGCGCCCCGGCCTTGGAGCCGAAAGCTCCAGCGCGGGCGCCGGCGCCTGGAGTGACGCCCTGCTCCAGCCGGCCTGCTTCGAAACAACGCAAGACGACACAGCACTATACAGTACAATGCAACGCAACGCAACGGCACTGAGCAATACAATGCAGACCAAAGCTGCACAACACAACCCGATACAACGCAATGTCACCGCTTGGGAATACAAGGGCACGAGCATATGCACCCATCTGTATCGTACCGTTTACCTGCAACCCAGAAGTTCGCACTGTTTACGTGCAACCCAAAAGTTCGCACCCAGAGTTTGCACGTAAACGGGACGAACTTCTGGGTTGCACGTAAGTGGTACAAGACAGAGGGTTCGATGGTCCTCCTGGCCTGTTTGCAACGATGGGCATCCCAGGCCCGTTTCGAAACAACGCGACACGACACAATACTACACACTACAATGCAACGCAACGGCACAACGCAATACAATGCAACGCAATGCTGTACAATAAAGCCCAATACAACGCAATGCCGCCACATAGAATACAGGGGGATGTGCATCTGCACCCATATGTCTTGTACCGTTTACGTGCAGCCCAGAAGTTCGTACCGTTTACGTGCAACCCAGAAGTCCGTAAAAAGTGATTGCTCATAAACGGCGCGAACTTCCAGGCCGCACGTAAACGGTACAAGACAGAGGGTTCGGTGGTCCTCCTGGTCCTGTTTTCAACGATGGACCTCCCAGGCCCGCTTCGAAACAACGCGAGGCCGCAGAAGGTCTCGGAGCGACTCCGTCCTCCCCGGGCTGTTTACAACGATGGGCCCTCTGACATGTTTTTACACGGAGGCCCTTCCCAGGCCTGCTTTCACGGAAGTCCTTCCAAGCTTTTTAAACAAGAACCTCACGGGCCGACCATGTGCAAGTATCGCGGGCCACAAAGCGGGTGCAAGAGGAAGCGCCCAAGAGAGTCGGACACCGCGACGGCCGATATTCAAGACAACGTGCAGCCAACATATTCGAGGCGGGAGTCTGGTGCTCCGTATTCGGAAGCAGGCATGTGTAGCCTGACTGCGCGGAAATACTCAGGGACGTAATATCTGTATACTGTCGCAATAACAGGCATGTCCAGAATGTGGTATGGTCATGCAAGAGGAGGAGAGCGATGTCCAGATAGTGGTAATGATCATGCAAGAGGAGGAGAGCGAGGAGGAAGCTGCGCGGGAGGAGTGCAGCACGGGCGCGCAAGAGGCAGCCTGGCTACTGGCAGACCTCTCCCGCTGCGCGCCAACGGTCCCTATCTTTGTTCCACAGGAACCACTGGGCCTCGCGGACAGCCGATTCAACCTGATGCTGGTGGGCATGCGTGCCCTTCGGGATCAAGGACTTGAGCGTCCCCCAGACTTTGTCGATGATCTGGGTGCCCTTCTTCACCCACCTCACCTCCGTAGCGCCCCACGCTGATTTCGGCTTGGATGTCTTTAAGAAGTCCAAGGGCAGGACGTGTCTCCACCGTGCTGCGTAGATTGGCCGCGGGCGCTTGTGCCGAACTGTGTCTACGATCACGCCAGGCACCCGCGTGTAGCGGTAGGCCCTAGCGCCGTCGCTGTGGAGTATGATCTTCCGCTTCGTGACGTACTTCTCGCAGATAGGAAGCCAATCTTTCTTCGTAATAGGGCCCGGCGAGGCGAACGAGCCCTTGCCCTTGCCGTGCCTCTTGGCACGCGTGGTCTTCGTCGGCAGCCTCAGCAAGACGAGGGACCGCCGATCGCCGCGCGTAACAAGACCGCAGTAGCTGAACCAAATTACACGCTGCTTCTTCTTATCTTTCTTGCCTCGGATAACCGTTTCGTCTACCTCCACCTCAGTCCAGTTAGTCAGGTTCCCAAACTTCATGCTTCGCTGGCGCTTGAGCACGTGCGCCTGGACAGCCCGCCGCCAGCGCGCAGATAAGCTCTCCACGGTTTTCTTGGGCACTCCGGTCAGTAGATGTATCTGTCCTGACTTCACGCCAGCCACTTTGCAAAAGAGGACTTGCGCCTGCTTGTTCAGCGGCACCGAGGAGGCCCCCCAGGCCCAGGAGAATATGGGGTGGCAGGCGTGAGGCTGCACCCAGCGCATGCAAGCCTTCGAGTTGCACCTGTGCGTCCACCCCCTCGTCTTGTCGAACTTCAACGGCCCCAGCCGATTGGAGCCGCAGATCGGGCAAGTGCTGCCCTTGTCCCACCACGGCAATATACCAACGTCCCTGAGGTGGTCGATTGTCTGCTTGTGGGTCATCTTCGCCAGCGCGGTGAGCGTCGTGCTCCACGCCTGCATCCTGTCCGCTGACTCGCCCCTCGGCGCCTTCTGGTGCGCGGGCACGTACGGGATATTCTTCGGGATGCGGAGTCGCTTCATGGCTGACCTCTTCATGGCTGTCTTCTTGACGCCCGTTCTGCCTTTGTTCGTCTTGGCTGGCGCCCCGCCCTGGAGCAGTCTCTGCTTGCCCCTCTTCGGTGTCGGGTACGAGTTGTACTGGCGACTTTTCACCTGCGCCCTCGCTCCAGCGGCGAAGCGTAGCAAATGCCTCTCTGGGGCGTCGCCGGGCAAATCTTCGGTAGCCAGTTGAAAGAGAACCAGAAACTTGCGATCTACGGCCTCGTCCCAATATGTCTTCCATGCATCCCGCGGCACCGTCCAAGCATCGGCATTCTCCACGATCGTACACGCGGCCGCCGTAGCCTGCATGGGGACGCAGTGCTGCAAGCCGTTGTTCTCCACATGGAGGAGATACCAGCCCTCGGCAAGTCGCTGCTCGGGAGTTCTGAGGGGATGCAAGTGTACATCGCACATGCTCGATGCCTCCTCGTACGTTCGGCACCCCTTGCGCTCTGCAGCCTTGTTCACTGCATTTGACGCTGATGCCAGTCTGCCAATGGCTTGCTGGCGCTGGGTAGCCGTTGCCAGCGCAGCGGGGATGCAATTGCCGTTTTTGAGCAGGCTCTTCGGCAAGACTGGGAACGGGGCCCGGGCGTGGGTGCCGTTCAGTTTCGCTAACTCGAGGAAGGTGTGCAGCGTCTTCCGCACGATGGACACGTCGAACCCAGTGGCCCGCAAGATGGCGCCCTGGCAGTCTGCAGCAAACGTCTCGTCGTCGGCGACCGCCTCGGGGTTGATCATGAGGCCGTCGTAGTGCAAACTCAGATGCGACACGTTCCGTAGCGTTGAGATAACGTGCCCCGACCATGCGTTGAGTATCAGGTCCTCCACCAGAGTCCAAGTGTAGTACCACGAGGAGGCGGCGGGGTTGTGCTTTGTCGGGTCCTGCGGCGGTCGCCCCAGGAAAGCCGCGCGCCCCTGAGGCGGCACGCCACGGCCGTGAGCGCGGCAACCCAAACCACGCCCCTAAGGCAGCATGGCGTTGCGACGTTCACTGGCCATGGCCCCGCCTGCTGGTGCAAAGCTTTCCCGTTGCATGCCTCGGCGGTGGCCGCGTGCGCCTCCGTGTCCATCGCCACTGCAAACCAACGTAGTAGTATCCCTTCTTGCTGCAATGCCTTCAAAAAGCTGTTCGTCGAGTACTCCTCAGGGATGCGCCCGCCGTTCACGACCTTGAGGAAAAGCTTCTTGCCAGCGTTGTAAGGCACCCCAAGCTGGCCGAGAACGTCTGCATTGCTCTTTGTGAGTGCAGTGATGCACTCGAACTGGATCGCCTCGTGAGAGATCAGCGCAGTGGCCATGCTGAGGAGTTGCAGGGCGATCGTGAACATGCACTTCGAGATGTCCCAGTCGTGCGCGTCGGGGATGACCACGTGCTTCGCTGCGTTGCTGAGGGCCTGCACGCCGTAGGTGTCCAGGTATAGCCGTGAACGGCGACTGCCCCTCCTTGAGTATGACGCCGCGTACGTCGATGTCTCGGGCGCGACGCCGTCGGCGTCTCCAACTTGGCTCCGCATGTGCTCTGCCAGTCTTTGAAGCTCGCGCTCCTGGTGAACCAGCTTCTCGCCTTTGTGAGCGAAATCGTTCTTCATGTCGTTCTGCCGCGCCGACAGCCTGCCCCGCTGCCGCGGCACCAGGAAGTCGCACATCTCGCGCCAGTATTCTTGTAATGCGGCCACGTTCTGGCAACGGGGAGCGTTGCCGGCATACTCTATGACGCTCCGGCATCGCACTTGCTCCTGAAGGGCTGGCAAGTCGTCGTCCGCATGCCCAGGCCAGTGGCAGCCGGGCTTGCGCGCGAAGCAATGCGCTGGTACGTAAGACGTGTTCCCTTTACTGCCAGTGCCGTTCTTGACCCAGAGGCCAGCTGTGACAAGGCGATCGAACTCCGACTTTCTCTTCTCCGCAGTCCCAGATACAATGCCATGCCCAAGCTTGTTCGCAAACTCCTCTGCCGTGATGGAGTCCACGCGGTTCTCCAACAGCGCGACTGCTAGTGTCAGGCTGAGTTTCCGATCGGCCTCCGCCTGGGCTGCCATCGGGTCGAAGGGCGCAGGGAGCCCTCCTGGTACAGGTGGGGCAGAGGTTGCGCCAGTCGCCCTGCTGCGGCGTTGCACGCCCGTCGCCGCGTACACGCAGTCCACGGTGGTGCAGCCGTCCCCGCCCTCGGCATACTCCTCAATCATGCCGAAGGACTCGCTGCGGGAATGGCTCCTCATGAACCCGTGCAAAATCCTCCACATCGCTGGCGCGACCTGAGGAGACCGAACTAACGTCTTCAAGCCTGGATTCTTGGCGAACACACCCATCGACGCCGCGTCGGGTATTGTGCTGAGTACCTCTGGCGAGACAAACCTGGATTTGATGATGCACGCCCACGTGCGGCGTTCGATGCTGTTGATGCTCTCGGCAGTGACTCCAGCGAACCGAATGATTTTGTTGAGCTCTAATCTTTTCCAGCCTTGGAGGGAGACCAGGTGGGTGACAATGCCATACGGCAGGCGAGCTGCGATCGGATCGGCCGATATATGCTTTTTGTACAGGTCCTCGCGGAACCCGTGCTTCGACCCTTCGACGGCTTCCTGTCCAGTGGTAATGAGCTTGTGGACGAGTTGCTCCGCCTGTTTCCTTAATTCGTGGTCGTCGTAGTACACCGTTGTATCGAGGAACGCGTGCAGGCCCGAGAAGACGTTGTCCACGAGGTGGGTCAGCAGAGATTGTCCCACGCCACCAGGCCCGATCGTCCAAAAGCAGCGGTCTATGTTCTCCCCCTGGAGGACGAGGCACATGGCGGCGAGCTGGCAGTCGAGGGCGGAGCCGTTGTCCCAGAATGTCTGGCCCAGAAAGGTTTGCAGCTCCGTGTTTACGGCCTCCTGGACGGGGTCCTTCAGTGCGTGGGGCACGTGTATGTACACGTTCCTCGACTGGGCCTTCTCGACGAACGTGTCCTCCCCGTTCGGGCCGAACATCAAGCACGCGTCTTTAAAGCACACGCCAGGGGCTGGTCTCTTCGGAGTCGAACACCACTCGCCGTAATGCTTAATCAGCTTCGTCCCCAACAGTTCGTTCTGCAGAGCGGAGGACAGCTTCTGCACCATCTTCGCTGCAAACTCGCCCTGGGACTCGTTGGGTTCTGCCTCATCACGCTCGCCTTGTAGATGGGGATCCCCTTGTTGTTCAGGACCAGCAGGATTCTCAGCTTCACCTGGGGCAGGGCCCTGGGACCGCGAGCTAGTCCTCTTCCCCTTGGACGCGGACACTTCGCAGTGGGCGGTGAACGCGATGGAAGTATCGCCGTGGCTTGTCCATGCGACCTTGCACTTTTCCACGAAGGCAGCGTCGTCGGCCCTCTTCCACGTGTCCACGAGCAGGAGGAGCCCTTCAACCCGCAGGAGGCCCCGCTTACATTGGGCCAACACCGACTCGGCAACCAGGCCTGCAAAGGGAAGCCAGCTGCCGTCAGCGTACATGTAGAGCTCCCCACCGTGGGCGCGAATGGCGACGTCGTGCAGCAGGATGTGCAGCAACAGGCAGTGCTCCCGAAGACCAATATCGCAAAGGCGGAAGCAGTGTAGAGCGACAGCGCACGCGACCACCCTCCAAAGTGCATCGCAAGCCCCATCCATCGCTCCCGTGACTAGAGTGTAGAGGCGTGCGTAGATAGACTGTATGTCGTCGGTCACAATCTCCCTGGAAACTGTGATGTCATCATGAGCCTGCAGCCCTCTTTTGGAATACCGGCTCAACGCGTCCACGGAGGACTCGCCGTCACTGCGACGTCTGCGTTTTGCTGGGCGATCAACTGGCTCTGCGCTACCGCTGGCACCGTCCCGCGGCGCGCCTGGGGGTTCAGCCTGATCTCCGAGGTCGCCAGCGGCGTCCTCGGCGAAAGGTGACTGGTCCATCACGTCCGACAACGCTCTCTCCAAGTCCACGCTGGAGCCAGGCGCGTCGTTCTCGTCGACGGCGTCGTCCTGGCGGATGATGTCGCCACGTTGCATGCCGCCAGGCAGCGTGCCCCTGGCGTTCCGTAGTTGCAGAGTGCGTGCCGCCTGATTTCTGGCGTCCATGGCTTCCCAAGAACCAATGTTCAAGCCAGCGGCCAGGGACACATCGTCACCCCAGAAGCGTGTCATCGGGTCGGCGGCGGTATCGGCACAGGTCTCCGTCCAGATGTCGGAATATCCCAGCTCGGGGCAGCTCTGGGTCTCCCATAGATGATCAGCCTCTTCGGGACTGAGTAGAGATTTGATGCCGTCCCTCAGCGTGCGCTGTCTGAGTATGTAGCGGCTGGTCGTATCCAAGGTGGACAGCGGCAGGGTGCGTGCCGCTCGATTCCGTGCGTCACTGGCGTCGTGAACATGCGTGCGTCCGGTGACCTCAGTGACTGGTGTCCTCCGCTTCTTGTACCTGCTCGCCCGCGACCTCTGTTGCGACTCTTGGTACTTCTTGCCTGCGAGGGGCCTGACCCAGAAGCCCGTCACGACGTCGCACTCCCCCGTCACGTCGTCGCACTCCTCCGTCACGACGTCGCACTCCTCCGTCACGACGTCGCGCTCCTCCGTCACGACGTCGCATTCCTCCGTCACGACGTCGCACTCCTCCGCCACGACATCGGGCTCCCACAGCTCTGGGCAAGATCGGGTCTCCCACAATGTCTCTGCCTCCTCTGGGACAAGTAAAAGGTTCGTGCCGTGCAGAAATGTCTCTGCCTCCTCTGGGTCGAGGAGGAAATTCTTGCCGTGCATGGGCGTAGCGTCCTGGGTAGGGACCGTGCGCCAGCAACGGCCGTACATGGGCATACCGTGCTGGATAAGGGACTGTGCGCCAGCAACGAATGCTGCGGAAACGTCAGCGGTGCAAAGGAGAACGCCCTTGAGCCAGAAGAGGAAGGACGTGGAGGAGGAGGGATAATCCAGACGTGTTCTACACGAGTCCAACACCTGGACCTATTTTCAAACGATGGTCCTTCCAGGCCTGTTTTCGACGATGGTCCCCCAAGCTTGTTTTCGAAACAACGCAATACAATACGTACTGTACAATACAACGCAATACAATACAACGCAAAGGCACAATGCAATACAATGCAATGCAATGCTGTACCATACAAACCTAAACGGTGCAAACTTGAGGGCTGCACGTAAACGGTACAAGATACATAGCTTCCTTGTACCGTTTACGTGCAACCTTTGGTCTTGAGACTCCGAGACGGCCTGACGACGACCCGCGTGCACGTAAACAGTACAAGATACATAGTTGTACCGTTTGCGTGCAATCTTTGGTCTTGAGACCCGAGACGGCCTGACGACGACCCACGTGCACGTAAACGGTACAAGATACATGGTTGCCTGTACCGTTTGCGTGCAATCTTTGGTCTTGAGACGCCGAGACCGCCTGGCGACGACCAACCCTGGGTAGACCCGTAAGGCTTGAAATTGAGATTCCTGAAGAAACTAAAGCAATTCCCTAGAGAGACTTGTACTTTTGAACCGGTGCTCCAGAGGATGCCCTGTAAACCAAACAAAAAAGAAAAAACAAACGAAACGGACAAAAAAATGAGTCCTTAGCGAAATCTGCATTCTGCAGAACAGCTGCTCGAAAATTAAATAGAGTCCCTATCGGAACCTGTCTTTTGGAGCCGTCGTTCCGCAAGATGGCGATTTCGCTAGGTACTCGATTTAATTTTTTTAATTTTTTTATTTTTGTTTAATTTTTTTAATTTCCCAGAGCTCCCCTGCGGACGAACTGGAATATAGGAGGGTGGCCCCCGGAACTCCCGGGTTCCACCCTCCTGTAGTCCAGGGGGGGGGTCGCCCTCCCCGGGACTCCCGGGGTCCACCCTCCCGGAGGCCACCCTCCTGTATTCCCGGGGTTGAACTGGAATACAGGAGGGTGGCCCTCCGGGGGGAGGCCCTGGAAATTAAAAAAAATAAAAAAAATAAAAAAAATAAAAAAATTAAATCGAGTCCCTAGCGAAACCTGTTTTTTTTGATCCGCTGTTCCGCAGAATGGCGAAATCGCTAGGGACTCGATTTATTTTTTTTTATTTTTTTTAATTTTTTTAATTTTTTTAATTTCCCAGAGGTCCCCTGCGGGCGAACTGAACTGGAATCCAAGGGGGGTGGCCCCAGGGAGGCCCTGGAAATTAAAAAAAATAAAAAAAATAAAAAAATAAAAAAAAATAAATCGAGTCCCTAGCGAAACCTGTTTTTTTTGATCCGCTGTTCCGCAGAATGGCGAAATCGCTAGGTACTCGATTTATTTTTTCTATTTTTTTAAATTTTTTTAATTTTTTTAATTTCCCAGAGGCCCCCTGCGGGCGAACCGAACTGGAATCCACGGGGGGTGGCCCCAGGGAGGCCCTGGAAATTAAAAAAATTAAAAAAAAATTAAAAAAAAATCAAAAAAATTAAATCGAGTCCCTAGCGAAACCTGTTTTTTTGATCCGCTGTTCCGCAGAATGGCGATTTCGCTAGGGACTCGATTTAATTTTTTTATTTTTTTAAATTTTTTAATTTTTTTAATTTCCCAGAGGTCCCCTGCGGGCGAACCGAACTGGAATCCACGGGGGGTGGCCCCAGGGAGGCCCTGGAAATTAAAAAAATTAAAAAAAATAAAAATAAAAAAAAATAAAAAAAATTAAATCGAGTCCAGAGGTCCCCTGCGGGTGAACTGGAATGCCATGGTGGTGGTTCCCCTGAGGTTGGTCTCAGGGGGGGCCGCCACCATATATACATACATATACATATACATTTACCTATACCTATACCTATACATATACATATATATATATGTGTATTCCTAAATAGCTATCGTGGTGTTGAGGAGGACAGCTGCGAATGTATGTCGCCATTTGGCCGCGCCGATGACTTCCTTTGCCAGGAACTGCAAACGGGCTCCAGCGGTTGCTAGCTCGTCAGCATGGTGGTTGACGAATTCGGCAATAGACGAGATGCGACCTTCGTCAACCCATTGCTCACCGAAGTGGCTGACAGCTGTTTGGATCTTCGACATGCCACGTTTGGCCTGGACCACCAGGTGAATTCGCTGCCAGAGATCAGCTTGCGAGCTCCTGGTCTCTGGTGGATTTCCTTCGAGGGGGGGGGGTCGAACACATCGATAACCTCTTTGCTGCCCACGAAGATGTGGACCCGTCTCTCGGCCGTGGCGGTAAGATGAAGCAGCGCGAGGATCTCGGCACGTTGTGTTGATTGCGCCAGGCCACGCACTCGGGCGGAAGTGTTTCAGCCGATGGTCTGGCCCGCAGTAAACACCGAGACTTGCCCTGGCGAGGAGTTGGTGGGCCTGGTGCGAGCAGGCACCATCCGCAGCCGCGTATTCCGGAAAGGAAGGGGAGATGGGAGAGGGAAGATGAGATGAAGGGAAGACGAGATGAAGGGGAGATGAAGAGGGAAAGGAAGGGGAGATGGGAGAGGGAAGATGAGGTGAAGAGAGGGGGGGAGCGCGCGGGCGCAGACGCCACAGGGCCCATGCCACTTGGGCGAGCGAGGGCAGGGCAGCGGGGGTGGTGAGAGGGGGGCAATCTGTCTGGGAGCCCGGACCCCCTCGCGTCGTGAAGGTGCAAGACGGACGGTTGCTCGTTCTTCTCTGTTCTGGGAGCCCCCGCCGAATCCGAAAACCAACAAAAACAACTCCAGATGACACGCCGGTCCCGCGGAACGGGTCCAGTTTTTGGGGGGGGCGACGCTACACACAAACAACAAAAAAACATGATGTCGGGAGTCTGAGGAGGGAGGAATCAAAAAGAACGAGGGGGCGGTCAAAGCACGAGTTTTTGCGACGTTGGGCGGCCGTTGGGGGGTTTCCTGGGGCGCCCTTGGCCGCCACAGCTGGGCCCGACCTCAACATGTCCGCCAGGACGCCCCCCCGGACGGCTCTGGGGCCCGATGGAGCAAGCTGGGAGCCGAGAGGGGTGGAAGGAGCGGACACGGCTGTGGTGCTGGTGACCACGTGATGCGCGTGCGCGCACGTGTTCGTGCTACCCGGGCCCCCACGGTGGTTCTCAGCGCCCGCCTCAGCGCAGGTGCGGCGATTCCTCGCCAGCGCGTCCCGCCTGGATTGCACCCGCGAGTGCCTTCCCACCGCGGCACTGGGGGGAACAAGTGTGCACCCGTGTTGTGCAAGCTTCAGATCGGGGGACGGCAACCGACCAGCTCACCAATCCGAGCTGGGCCGATCCTGGGCCCAGGATCTCTGTCTACGCCTGCGGGGCCAAGCCAGGAGGGTGCACACACCGACCCTGCACCCAGGATGGGCCCAGCCAGGAGCTCGGTTGACGTCGCCCGATCGGCGGCGGTTCCGCCGACCCCTGGCCACGTCGACCCCGAGCCCAGGGTCGGCGTGGATGCCTCCCCGGCCGAGCCACGCAGGGCGCACACACCGGCCCCAAGCCCAGGCGCGGCCCGTCGGGCGGGCGGCAGCGGGGGTGACCCACATCGGAGGCGAAGAACAGGGCCCCAGAGAGGCCCTGCAGGGACCCCTGCCCAAGAGGGGCTCCTCCTCCTCCTCCTCCTCCTCCTCCTCCTCCTCCCCCTCCTCCTCCTCCTCCTCCTCCTCCTCCTCCTCCTCCTCCTCCTCCTCCTCCTCCTCCTCCTCCTCCCATGTAGGGCCCTTCCCTTCACCCCCCATGTGGGCCACCCCCTGCTACCACCCGCCCGAGCCTGGCCATGACCGGTGCAACGCACGCGGTCGAATCGAAAAGCCACGCCCGACCCGGACCACCGCCGACGCGGCGTGGAGGGGGGTCGATCAGGGAGAACGACAGGGGCGAGTAGCCCAGGGAAGGACACTACATGCATCCCGGGGCGCCGATGATCGATGTCTTCGGCGAGGCCCCCTGGCGAATACGTGTAATGCTCGCCCCTGGGCTATTCGCCCCGACTGCAGCGCGGCTCGGTCTTGCCTGGGCTGGTGTGCTTTCGGCCTGAAACTAAACGATACGCGCGCGTGCATGTGTGCACGATCACGATACCAATGTGGATGATCCATTGTATGCGACAACCCGCAAGTTGGCGTGTGCATTCGCAACCATGTGTTCCATGACATGTGTGTATACACGGGTGGATATACGCGATAGAATACGAGCTTGTGTATGATGTTCGCATGGGGCCATGCATCTTCACATATGTTGTATGTGCTCGTGGTTGTACGCACGTCTGCTCTGTCTATTTGTGTGTCGCCTACGATTAACGAGTATGAGTAGGAAGGCATGGTGCGGTCGATTGAAAGAACGTGTATACACGCGGACGTATCGCGCTCATCGTCATCATCTCCGCGGTGCTCCTCGCTTTCGTCGTCCCATCTTCCTTCCTCTCCCTTTCCCCTTCCTCCGTAAGCCATTTTGGCTCAAGCGAGCCTGGCTTCCGGCAGGCCCTCGGGCGCGCGCACGCCCGCCAGTGGCCGTGATGGGACATTCTGGATGCGGCGCCTCATGGGCGGCTGCGAGCGCGAGGACGCTCGCCCGCCGCCTGCGTCGCCAGCGGCGGGCCCAGCTTGGTGCCAGCCGCGCGCAGGCCCTCAGCCACAGGGTCAAGGCCTTCCGCCTCGCGTTTAAGGGCCACCAGGAGCTCTCGGACATCCTCGGGGCGTTCGACCGCTCTTTCGGCAGCACCTTAGCGGCGGCGCGCATGGTCGCACCCCCAGCAGAGCTGATCTACTACGAGGAGGTCCATGCCCACGGCAACTGGGCCAAACACTCGCCGTCCCCCGATGCCGCAGTGCAACTGCCGCTTGCTCCAGCTGGAGCGGTGGACGCTGCCGCCTTGGAGCTGCTGGCCGCCATGGCCCACGGCTTCCAC